GTCAGTGCCAGCCAGCCCGGCAGCTGCTCTGAAGAGCCCCTTTCGAGGCGAGGTGCTGTCTGCAGGGTGCTTTTCCCGGCACAGAGGGGAGCCAGTGGGAGAGAGGTGCTGGCAGCTCTCAGCTCCAGGGGTGGGGAGGGCAGCGGGGCCATGGGACCGCACGGGAAACCCCTGCAGCCTCGTTAATGTCCAGTAATAAAGTCCATGTCGGAAATCCCGGGGGAGCTCGGATCTGTGGGACCAGGCGGTCTGTGTGAGCGCTGGCCAGCAGACACCAAGCACCCTTACGTTCTCTCCTCTGGGCCGGGGAAAGCAGACAGCCTCTCCGGGCACGCCGGGGCCACGGCTCTGGCTCCGCAGACCTCTTGCTGCCGGGAGGAGCCCGCGGCTAAGCACCCTTACGTTCTCTCCTCTGGGCCGGGGAAAGCAGACAGCCTCTCCGGGCACGCCGGGGCCACGGCTCTGGCTCCGCAGACCTCTTGCTGCCGGGAGGAGCCCGCGGCTTCGCCCTGTGAGACCCCACGGAGGAATTGGCTCTGTTCCCTACAAATTTTACCTACTTTGCCTCTTTCAGTCTTGGGTGGGCAAATCCCCCGTCCTGTGGCTTTGCCGTGGTTCAGTGGCTGGTGCTCTCTGATCTTTTCCACAGCCCCAGGGCGGGGGTTTAATGAACGCACAGAGCAAGCTGGGGAAATGGAGGTCCAAAATGAGCAATGAAGCTTCATGCAAGAGGGTCATAAGGAAGCCGTACCGTGCGCTGGGATGGCAGCTGTGCATTTCAGCAGAGACTTTTCTGAAATCCTGAGGAAGCCATATACCATTGAGCAGAAACAAGGGCTACACAGAAATAGCTTCTATTTTCCACAGACCTTTGTCCAGTAAGAAATGTTTGGTTTGTGAATATCAAGGCTTTAGAGAGCTAAGAAAATATTTCCAATAAGAAACTACCCAGACCTTCCTTTTCTTCCCACAACAGCTTAATTTCTTTAAGAGCCCTTCTGGGAGAGCTTTTTGGAGATCCAAGTGCACTCCGAGGACCAGACAGTCTTGTGTACACAATGGCTGGTTTCCTCCAAGAGCGCTCGAGGTTTGTGCCTTGCAACTGCCCCCTCAAAAGCCATGTGGAATCTCCCATTATACCAGATTTATCCAGAGCTCTGTTGTTATTTCAAGACTTTATTATCCTTTCTAATAACTTGCCTTTTATAGAAGGCAGCCTCGCTGCTTTGCAGTTTCCTGGTTCCCACTGGAACTTTTTAAAAATTAGCATCATATTTAACAACATTGGCTTTTCGGTAGAGGGATCACTGTAATTCCTACCCAGGCGAGTATTTGGCAGTTCATCTGAGCGCTCCTTCTGGCAGACTTTTAACCACGTGTTCTAAAAATGGGGTTTAAAATATCTTCTTCCCCCCCCCCAGTGCCTTGGGACAGTCATGCAAACGCGTGTTCCCTAAGGAATGAATCTAGTGCGAGGTCCTTCACAGCAAAGGCCAGCCCAAGTAACTTAACAAGCTTTTACGTGATGGCTCTTTCCTTCTTGTAGAGCCTGATCACGTCCTGTCCCAAGGGCTCTCTGGAGAGCTTTCTGCTTCTCACATAGACATAATTAAGTTTTATGCCTTTAGGATGCTTTTCTCAAATCTTCTGTGGCCTGACTTTCACCTGTAACTTTCCAGAGCTTGTAGTCTTTTATTTTCACTTCTTTTAAGGTCTTACTACTTCAGGTGTCCATTTCCACTCTTCCGTATAGGCACGTCGCCTTTTTTAAAAACCTCTGAGCGCTGGTGTGCATTTACGCCTGTGTAATCCAATACCACACGTTCAAACAGCCTCTGTGCTGCGTAAGCTCAACACCCCTCAGGTGCCTGTGTGACGCCCCTGACCAGCCCACCTCCCATTCCCCTTTCGACATTAAATATTACTCTAAGGTATCACTTCTGCTCTCACCAGGACAGTCTGATCAGCAGTTATGGCTCTGTGGCCCCTCATTTTTCACCTCTGCCCTAAGCCCCACACACAGTTGAGGAGTTGCTTGGGTACAGCCCTCCCTTCGCTCCCCATCAACGCACAGCGTGGGGTTACACCATCCCACTGCCTCCACCAAGCCTCCGCGGTCCAGCCCCATGATTAAAGGGCTTGGGTAGAAGGAAGGAGATGGAGGATCCAGGCTCCTGCCGCGCACCACGTCCGAGTCACTGACAGAGGAGCCACGGGTGAGGTCGAAGAGGAGAAAACCCTGGAAAGCAGCGCTACCCAGAGCACTGGGACCCTGGCCAGCTGGGAATTCAGGAGTCACGTAAGTCCCGCGTCCCAGCTGCAGCTGCGGAGCCGAGTTCCTCGACCCCAAGCACAAGGCCTGAGAACAGCCAGGGCTGCAGCTGGGACCCGGCGCAGCTCCTCGCGCCTGCTCCGTGCCCGCAGCAGGGACTCGTGCCCCTTCCAGCACCCAGGCAGCGCAGCAGGGCAGGGGCAAGCCCGTCCCGGGACACGCACGGCACTGGCCTCACCGCTTGCACACGCAGAGCACCCTCAGGAACAGGGCTGAGCGCTGGTTCACTTGTGTCTGTACGGAAAGCCCAGAGGAGCCTGCGGGGACGGGCATTTTCAAATCAGTGCAAGTATCTGCGTGGTGTTTATGCTACTATCGTACTAAAGTGACAGACCAGCGGCCCCTCTGCACCCAGAGCAGACCACCAACAAGGCGCACGCTGTGCAGGGCCAGTGCCCCAGGCACATCAGCAGCCGCTGCTGAGCTCCCAGCAGCTCCAGTGTCCCAGCGGCACTGGTGCCACCATGTGCTCTGCAGGCTGCAGCCTCAGCACGGGCAGCTGCCAGCTGTCTCTGCTTTCCTGCGCCCACCTACAGCACGGCCACTCACCCATGGTCATTCCTTGAAGTGCCACCAGAAGACACAATCTGCGAACAGACGCGGATGGGCTGGCGATGCGCAAGCGGCAGGCACAATTTCTACACAAAGTTCGCGCAAACAGACCAGTCACAGGATTTTATTTAAGGTCCAAGTTCAAGACATTGCCTGGAGGACAACCATTTTTTCCCTGGATTTGCACGCTGGATCCAGGCAACAGAGCATGCTGTTTCTCCTCACCCACCAGCCAGCACCCACGTTTCCGATCACTTGGCAGAACCAGCTGCCGTGCAATGCAGCGCACCTCTGCCTCCCCATCACCCACGCAAGCACCCCGCTCCTCTCCCATGCGTGCATTCCTCCTTCGCCGAGAAAAGCACCAGAACGGTGAATCAAGCTCTCCCCTTGCCCATCCCTTTTGCTCTACGCGCCCTGCTGTGGCACTGCCTTTCCCAGCTCATGGATGGCCCCGTTCTCCAGTACCTCCACCTTCCCCTCGCCTGGCTGCAGCACGGTGGCCACCATAGCCCTGGCCACCGTTTCCACAGGCACCGAGTAGGCGGTGGGGAAGACGCGAGACACAAGGCCCAGGAACTGCTGGGCCACCCACTCCGTGGGCCGGGACTCCTGACGCTTGCACAGCAGAACCCTGCAGAGTGAGGAGGCAAGGTGGGTCAGCCCGAAACCATTCCCCGGGGAAAAGCCCGGGACTGGGTTCTTCAGCTGCTAAACCCACATCAGGGCTGTGGGGCTTCGGCGGGGTCCCTCAACGTGACTGAGCTGAGCCCTGGGACACTAAGCTCCTTGCCCCGCAGTGCTGCCAAAAGCAGGATGGCAGGTCTCCCAGGCAGCAAGAGCAGAGTGTGGCCATGAGGAACCCCCCCCGCATAAAGCCAAGGTCTGCGTGGAGAAAGCTTTGACCTATGTCCCCCAGCCTCTGCTCTCAACCCAACCCTCTTCTTGCACAGCACGTGACACTAGCGTCGGGATGGGCCGTGGGCAGGACAGGAGTTGCACTTGCAGCTGGGGGCTTTCTCCACTTCCCTCCCCAGCCCTCCCCTCATGCATCCATTCTCCGTCCCCCAGCCCGCTGCCCTGGCAACCTTCCACCCGCGTCCCGCGCCCTCCCTCCCGCACAGCTACTCACGCTGGCCGGAGGATGGTACAGCGATCAAAACCAACAGCCTGGACCAGGTTCTCCACTTCTCCCTGTCAGAGCAGTCAGGCAGGATGAGAGGAGACAAGGATGACTGCAACCACCCCCCCTGTCGCCCTGTGCCTTGGAAGGAGAGTTGCCGAGCCGTGGGCAGGACGACACCGGTGCCAATGCAAAGCTGGTACAGGCCAGGCACGGCCTGGGCAGCGAGCAGCTCTCCAGGGAAAGACGGCGTGGGGGTGAGTGTCCACAGTGGACACACGGACCTTTGGTCAGCAGCGCTCCCTTGCAACCATCACGCTAACTACAGCTGGACACCGTGTCCAGCCAGGGGGTCCTAGCACACAGCACTGGCCAACAGCAGCAAGTCCAGCAGATGTCAGGGGCTGCAGCACACAACGTACGGCAAAGAAACCTCTGCGACAGGTACGGTGCCACCAAGGGAGCCTATGGGCTCTCCACCCCTGGACAGCTCACGCCTCACCTGGACATGGCCCTGAGCCTCCCCACCTAGCTGTGAAGCCACCCCAGCTTGGGGCTGGGCTGGAGACTGCAGAGGACCTTCCTGTGGTTTGAAGAGGGAGATGGATGCTGCACGCAGGGGCTGATGCTCCTTTGGACGATGCCAGTCGCACAGCTGTCCGGCCAGCCCCCTCCCCTTGTCCCCCCGCACCAGGAGGACCCCCGGAGCCATCTCCATCTCTCGAGCTCTCCCCAGCACCCCAGCGTTCCGTGCCTCCCGCACCAGGAGCCCGCCGCTCACCTTCACGCGGAGGTAGAGGAAGGGGCTGTGCAGGTCGGCCCCCC